AAACCGGTCGGAGAAAATAAAGCAAGTTGACAAGATCTGTTGCTGAAGTGCTGCTCACTAGTATTATTTTAAAAAAATTGTTTAAAAAAATTAATTAATATATATTCAAAATAATAACATGGCTTTTCAAAAAAAGAAAAAAAAAAAGACTGACCAATCAGTAGTCAGACCAACAGGTGTAAAAAAGGTAAACATTTTTCTGATAAAACCAAGCACATCATATTCCTCTCTCCAATTCAACACATCTGGAAAAATCCACAGACCAGAGAAGAACTTGAGAAACAAACTGGTTTGTTGGTTAGAACCAACTACTACAACAATGGACAAATTGTGTTGGAAAATGGGCAATAACATGAAATCATTACTTTAACACCTAATACCTAATTACTGCAAGAGCCAGCACCCACATTCACCCTTTCAATGTTAGGAAATGGTAAATAGCAAACTTGTGCTAGATGAAAGTGTTTCGTCAACATTGCACAGGCGTGGAGTGGGGGTGGGAGGGGGGGCAAAATACGTATAGAATGATTTTGTGACCAAGGTTACATACATGTACAGTGTAGTTCAAGTGATCAAAGCAGAACTCTTTCAAATGGTTCTTTTTTCCTCTTTTAACAGTCTGATCAAACCAGAATGACCAACTTGATTTCCAACCCAGATATCAAGTCTTAAATGGAAAGCACCCATTATGTGGCTGCTTTCCCTGGAGAACACAAACAAAGGGAAATGAATGGTTACCTGCATTCATTTCTTTTCTTTGTGTTCTCTAATGCTCATTTTCAGGCTGAAATTTCATGCATTCAATTCAAAGTAACCTATTAACCTATCCCCTCCCAACCTCACTGACTTTGTGACACAGTTGTAAAGCATTTATAATGACATTGTATTGGCCATGGGTTGTATTGGCCATGTGAAAAAAAAACATAGCCACCAGTGGAAGCACATGCATAATCTAGACCTTGATCTTGAACAGGACAGTGAAAAAAGTCTCAGATAGTGCAGAGTGCAATACATAGCTCTGGCACGGTAGTTTTTACCGATAAACAAGAAGTTATCTAATTATCAAATCACAGAATACCACATTCTTGTTCAGTTGCCACCTTTGTGAAAACAATAAAAGCTCTTAAAATTAATACTCAATGATATCGATTACTACAACTGAGAAGTGTTAGCAATTCAAAAAGTAGTATTGAAGGTCAGTCCTACTCAGTTCACCAAGATTATATCCTACATTTAGTGAATGAGACCCCTGAAAGACTGATTAAATTAATTTGCACTTTCATCACATGCCACAAAGTCTGCAGCAGTATTTGAACACTTTCCTAGTTCCTTTTGTCACAAATTTATAATTTGACAGTTTTAATGCCACTAAATCAGGAAAGTTTCAGCTGGGTATGAACTTTTTGGTCTCTTTCATAGAGACAGTTAAAAGAGAAACGAACAAGCTGCTAAAGGAGAAGCAAAACATTCCAATTTGATCGGGAATTCGAGGGCCTTGGGTTTGTCAGTCGTGAGACTGTTGTGTGTTACCCTCGTTAAACAAAGCTAATTTATTTATTTATTTTTTATTTTAATTTGAACCCTGGCAAATACACTAGTGTAGTTTGATAACAGCAGATGATAATTGTTGAACCGAGCTGGGGATAATTCTGAAAGATACACCATCACAGTAGCGTTCTTTGCACTAAAAAGTGAGAAGTGATGTAACCCGAAAAATAACTGCTGTCCCCCGTCATATCATGTAACAAGTAAAAAACCTAGGTGGCTCTGGGGATGAAAACAGAGTGTATCACGCTAGAGATGCTACAACGCATGTGTATTACATGTTGAGTTCTACCATAAGGAAAAGCACTCAACATTTGTGTGTCATGTGATCTCGAATGAAATCTATCTTTCACCTAATATGTAGTCAGCATGAACACTAGCTAATTAAGAGCAAATTGGTTTTGTTCGTAAGAGAATATCACCATAAGAAAAGCAAGAGGTTTTCTAAAACAAATATACAGCTTTGTGATGTTTTCTGTAAAGTAAGGTAGGTATTACATGTCTTTACATAGTGCACATAGGCACCTACCCTTCCCCAACCACTTCCTTCCCTCAAGATTAAAGAATTAATTTATATTAATTAATTAAATAAACATCAAAGGTTACACCTTATTACCTTAGTACTTTATTGCCTTATTGTTTTATTGCGTTAGTTATTTAGCAGATGTCTGCCCTCAAACCATCCCAATAGCGCACTCTCCACTAATTACCTGATCAGGTGGCAGAGCCTGTAAAAGATCCTGTTTATTTGCAAAAACAAGTACAGGTACACCACACAATTTTTCCTCACATAGCAGCTCGTCTAATTCCTGAAGGAAAAAAAAGTAAAAAGTCTCAAGTTGTAGCCACTGCCAGATTGTACCAAATAAATCTAAAACCAATTGCTATGTCACGTACATTCAGGCTATTCATTGTGAAAGAATGTTCAACTCTAAGTATTCAATCATTCACTTTGTTATGCTGCTGTGTTGTGCATCATGCCGAATGAACAAGATCCTGCTCCCGCTGCTCTAGCTCTCTTTTCCCAAATTGGAGGTCCCACAAAATCATTTGTGGGACCTGCATATATTTGCCAGCTGCCAAACACCAAAGGTGGTAACTCTCTATTCCATGTGATGAATGACTAGCTAATTCGCCTTGGAAGAGTATCACAAAGTGCCATTAAACTCATCGCCAATTGATGAGCTTGGGAAAGGTGCCTTAGGAATGGTGGAGCCAAGATATGAGCCTCAAGCAGAGCCTGCAGGTATCCACGGCAACCCTGAGAACAGCAACCACCGGGCACTGTCACACTGACAGAGTTAGTGGAGATGCTAATACCACCCCATATACTTACCGTCACCAGCGAAAGGGAGGGAGGTGAGGAAGCAAAAGAACTCAACAGGCATAAATGGCACTCAAAGGCAAACTGTACATTCTCACACAGGTGGCAAGCAAAACATGTAAGCCCTGCAAAACCCCATATGAGACCCCACTGAGCATGATCACCATGAGAGACTGCTAGCCAGCATTGGCTTGACTCAAACTTTGTCTAAATTACATTTACCCCATCAAAAGTGTGCTCTGACCTGATAAATTATCTCTGAAGTAATCCAGCCACCCCAGACAAGACTAATTTCGTTAAATTTATCAATCTTGGAGCATGGGACCCTTCTCTGTGAAGAATGACTATGGATGGTGAGTTGGGTGATTGGAATGCTTTCTTTGTTAGCATGTGTGAAATCCTGGTAACGATAGTATCAAGCTTAGGAGAAACGGGATTGAATGCCATCTATCCAACTGATCGTCAAAATGAAGTGCAAGCCACTGGAGATATGCAGTTGGTCTTGTTTGCCCATAAAGCTGAGCTTCATTACCGTAACCTTGGGAACTTTTAGCTTCCTAGAATCCTTAACCAGCTATTGCCAAGGAATTAAAGCAAAAATACCAAGGAAAAATATTACAGAATTAAGAAATTTGGCCAAAATGAGGTAGAAAATTTGAGTGGTGGAACGTTGCAGGTCTACGCAGATGACAGTGTCTTTTGTAGTAGTTGCTTTATGATTCAGATTTTTGTTTGGAACTTTAGCCGAAGATGTGGGAACCAAGAAGCGTCACATGTTGGATGGAAACTTGTTAGTCTAGAATATCGAGTTCTTGGTGTTGTTGCTGTTGTTGCCAGTTGGGTGAAGTTAATGGACTGATAAAATTTGACTTGACTATAACAATGAAATAGCAATGTTTAGCTAAGAAGGGATATGGACCATATGTTACATTGACAAAAAGAATCTGGTCATAATTTTAGAATTAAGAAAAAAAACTTCTGGCCTGCAAGCCAAGTCTTTTTTTGACGATTGAGTGGTGCAATTCATAGCATCGTAGAGTAATAAAATTCAGTTGAAAATAAGAAAAAAGATACTAGTTCTGTTGTAAGCCATTTTAATTGTTAAAGATTGTTGTAATAAAAATATCGCTATTCACGCTGAAAGCACACTTGCACGATGTTGTCATTTGACTACAACTACCAGAATTCATTTTGTTTCTCCTTGATTATTCAAATTATTAAACCACACTGGGGTTTGAATGACAATTGCCCCAGTTAGCATGAGAGAAAAGAAATGGTAAAGGATTCTCATACTTGCAGTCAAATGACGTCATCATGGAAATCACCTATTCCCTATCCACACCATTCCACCATCCACGCCATTCCTTAATTTTTGGTCAGGAGGGGTCCAATATGGGGATCATTGGCGGACCAGTACAAAACTTATGGCAGCCATTTTAATCAAGCCTGCTGACTTTCAGGGAAAACAAGCTGACCAAAAGGCTATCATGAACTGTTGCACACAAGGTCAAACCGAAAGAAACTATCATCGACTATTTTAAAGAATTTGAACAAGCTCAAAATTTAAATGATAGTTAATGATAGTCAGTGATAGTGCGTGATAGTTGGTGGTCAAACAGAAGTGTGCGCTACAACCGTTAACAACTATCATTGACTGCCATGTCCAGATGACCAAGGCATCAGGGTCATTGGGTCAGTTGTTTGTACTGTGCCGCTTAACAGTTGACTGTTTATGCACTGTACACTTTGACATGTGTTAACAACATCTTAACATATAGTAACTTATTTAAGAAGTTCATAAGTAGGTTAACTCATTCAATACTTACCAAACTAGTTTCTTCTAATCTCTTGCGATCTGTGCTATCTATAACGTATACCTACAATGACAAGTAACATGTGAGTATATAAATTAGTCGAAAAATATTAACTCTAACTCTAAATAGTAATTCTAGGCGGTGAGGCATTTTCCATAACAAATTATTGGACTTGATGGGTTTTTTTCTGCAGTTTTCATTCTTTAGAGATCACAAAACTATATTATCTAAAAGTGATCATAAATTTTGAAAACACTTACCAGCGCTTCGACTTGCTCAAAATAATTTCTCCAATACGGCCGGATTGATCTCTGCCCTAAGAAAAAACAACAAACACCCATCTTTAAATAACTGAGAATGAAGATAGTTGTAATAGAGTAACGGATTTCTCACTTGAACTAATAAAGATCGGCCATGTCGAAACAATCTGTGAATTTCGGCACAATAACTCACCTCCGATATCCCATACATTTAATCTGAATCCATCTGATACAACAGATTTAATGTTAAATCCCTGAAAAAGAGCAAATTCATGGTTAGAGCACTGGTCTTCGCATTTTCGAACGACAGCAACATCAAATACCTGTGTTGGTGTGATGTTCTGGATCTCCTCCGAAGCTAGATGTTTCAAAATCGTCGTTTTCCCGGCATTGTCCAAACCAAGGAAAAGAAGCTTCAGGTCTTTGCTACTATTCGACTTCAGCTTTCGCAGCAGCGCAAGTAGACCCTGCAAAAATTACCCTTAGCTATGTGGGTCCAAATGAGTAATAATTCTGATGATAACGAACTTACCATTTTGGGAGAAAATCACGAAAGTATATAACAAACGCTCGATGATTGTGTAGCAACTGAAGTCAGGGTGCTAAGCGTGACGTCATGTCATACGCCGTTTTGGGAACGAACCGAAAATTCAGCGGTTATAACCAAAGCCATTCTCGTCCCCAGAGCCTCCGTTTCTTTTGGTCACGTGGTCGGAGAAACGTTCAACGACATTTTAAGACGAGTAGCACTGGGGACGAGAATGAACCAAAGCGTGGGAAAAATTAAGGCCCGGGCGGAGTGTAGGGGTATTCAGCGGACACACTTTTATATACAAATACGTTGTGTAAGTGATCCCGTAAAATTAAAGAACATTTCACATGCACATACGTAGTAAGATATACATGTACTTTTCCCGCGTAAAATGTAAATATGGCGGACAAAGTGGACGAGGAATATCTCCGTCTGCATTTGCATGATTATAGAAAGGAAAATGGCTATGTC